TGGGGGCGGAGGCCGGGGAGGGGCCGACCTGGGGAGCCTGGGCCGGGGGGCCTTTCCCGAGACCCTCCGGCTGCCGTGGCCGCCCCGGAGGATGCTGCAGGCGCTTTAAGGAGCCGGAGCAGGGAGCGCCGGAGGCCGGGGCGCGGGGTCAGCGTCAGGGAGAGACCCCTGGGGCTCAGGGTTTGAGCCCTTGAGTGTGGAGACAGGGGCACCCCTCGGTTTCCGGGAGGCAGCGGGCTGGGGACCACCAAGGACGTGGAGCTGAGGGCGGCCGGAGATGAATTGGCCTGGCGGCCACTGGGCTCCCCGACCCCTGCCCGCAGCGCTGGCTGGCGAGGACTGCCTTTGGTACCTGGACCGGAATGGTTCCTGGCACCCGGGATTTAACTGCGAGTTCTTCACCTTCTGCTGCGGGACCTGCCACCAGCGCTACTGCTGCAGGGACCTGACCTTGCTCATTACCGAGAGGCAGCAGAAACGCTGCCTCGCCTTCAGGTGGGCTCCTGCCTCCTCGCCCACCTGCCCTTCTCCACCCTCCTCTCACGAAGCCTCCCCTGCCCTCCCGCCTCCTTCCTCCTCTGCCTTGTCCACCTCCACGTTCCTAGCGGAGTGCTCACCAGGACTCCAGCTTGGTGACCGCCCTAGGTGGTGGAGTTCCAGGAGAGGCAAGTTAGTTACCTTCATAGTCTTGGGCTGGCCTAAGGGTTTTCAGAGTCTTCCAGGGAGGGCAGGTACAGGGTTAGCAGCCGGACTGAGTGCGACTTTGTGGAAGAAGCTCTGGCGCAAAGGCGGAGACTTGGGTTTGGTCCCCTCTTTATTTTTTTGTTGGGGCCTCACTCTGTCACCCAGACTGGAGTGCAGTGATATGATCATGACTCACCACAGCCTCGAACTCCTGGGCTCAAGCAAGCAGTCCTCCCACCTCTGCCTCCCCAGTAGCTCGGAGTACAGGCATGTACCGCCACACCCAGTTAATTTTTTATTTTGTAGAGACAGTCTCACTAAATTGCCCAGGCTGATCTCAAACTCCTGGGTTCAAGCAATCCTCCCACCTTGGCCTCCCAAGGGATTACAAGCATGAGCCGCCACCTTCAATCCCCATGTCCACTTCTTACTCGCTGGGTAATCTTGGGAAAGACACTTACCCTCTATGGGTCATTGTTTCTTCATAAAATGAGCATGCTGCCAAATTAGTGGTTTTCAAACTCTTTTTTGAAGGGGACCACTAATATATATAACAGATATAGAGACTTATGATTAAAATGAGGTTTGAAAAAAATGGTTCTAGATTATTCTTAAGGCTCCTTTCAGGGTTAACATGCTGTAAGGTTAATCAATTAAGTTGCAGATGTAAAACAATAGGGAGGGAGGGGGCACACTACAAATCCCAGCATGCTTCGCACTAACCAGCCAGACAGCATAGACTTCTGGGAAGTGGAGGTCCCCTAAGATTTCCTTCACAGGGTCTGGGCAGAGCCCCACAAGGAAACCCAAATCTCAGCATGTTGAGGCCCTCCTGCTGGCCAAGAGTGGAGCCAGGAAAATGCGTTGGAGCCAGCTCCTGTGAGTATTGGAAGGTGAGAGGACCTGTTCTTTGTCCAAAGTCCCAAGACCATAGCAGGCATCGCCTCAGCTGTGATCCTCTTTGTTGCTGTGGTTGCCACCACCATCTGCTGCTTCCTCTGCTCCTGTTGCTACCTGTACCGCCGGCGCCAGCAGCTCCAGAGCCCATTTGAAGGTACGCACAGTACTGGGCACGATAGGCCTGAAGTGGGCTGGGCTGAGCCCCGTGATAGGCACCAGAGAGTTCAAGGACTGGCGACTTCTGTAGTCGTGTGTGCTTCTGTATACACACACCTGCCAGTGTGGATACCCAGGAAGATGCTTGTAACCCCTGAGTGTTGGAAGTGCCCAGGGGTATATGGGAACATCAGCCTGTGTTTGCATGTATGTGCATGCACATGGGTATTCAGGTGGGCACAGGAGTGCAGTCTGCCAACGGCGGCAAGTGTATGGTGGGTATAGACATGCGCATGACTCTCAGTAAGTACTCGGGGTGGGGTCTATGGTGGTGAACATGCATTGGGTGTGCTCCAGTGTACAGTGCAAAGTGTGCCTGAGTATTGGCATGCTATGTACATATGCCCAAACCTGATGGGCATGGGGATGGTGGCACTATATAGGAGACCAGTGTGGGAGGGAAGGGCTAGGAGAGGACCCCTTTGGTGGCAGCTCTGCTGGATTATAAGATAACAGCCTGAGTTGTCCCCTCCTTGCTCAAGTGGGACATTCCCTGGGCTGTGCTCCCTGGCTCATGAGATCTTTGAAACCTGCTGAGGTGAGCAAACTTGCTAAACCCAGATTGACTGCTAAGGCCACGTGCATAGCTCCCTACTCAACTGTGCCAAGGCTGCAGGTGGCCAGCCTGGAGTCTGCCAGAGGGCTGGCCCCTGGGTGCTTCCCTTGGTTTCCTGAGCATGGGGAGGAGGCTTCCCTTGGGAGGGGGATCTCTGAATGGTGGTCCTTATCTCCCACCTAGGCCAGGAGATTCCAATGACAGGCATCCCAGTGCAGCCAGTATACCCATACCCCCAGGATCCCAAAGCTGGCCCTGCACCCCCACAGCCTGGCTTCATGTACCCACCTAGCGGTCCTGCTCCCCAGTATCCACTCTACCCAGCTGGGCCCCCCATCTACAACCCTGCAGGTAAGTAGGCAATCAGGAGCCCCTGCTGCTCCCTACCTCTACCCCTTGCTCTGAGACCTCCTCTGAGCCCCTCTCCCTCCCAGACCCCTTCTCCCAGACTTCTTCTACCTCTAGCTGGAAACCTCTAGGCTCACTCTTACCCCTGAGTCCTGCCTACTCCGGGGGTGGGGGTTTATATCACATCCTCCTATGCCACCACTAACCCTCCTCCTGTCTCCTTGGCTTTCAGCTCCTCCTCCCTATATGCCACCACAACCCTCTTACCCAGGAGCCTGAGGAACCAGCCATGTCTCTGCTTCCCCATCAGTGATGCCAACCTTGGGAGATGCCCTCATCCTGTACCTGCATCTGGCCCTGGGGGTGGGCAGGGGTCCTCTAGTCACCAGGCCCCAGACCAAGCCAAGTCCTGGGCCCTACTGGGGACAGAGCCCCAGGGAAGTGGAACAGGAGCTGAGCTGAAACTAGGCCATGAACGAGGGGTTAGGGGGAGGGGTTTGGGACTGATGGGCTATTTTTACTGGGGGCAAGGGAGAGAGATGACAACCTGGATCACAGCCTCTGTTTTCAAATAGTCCCTCTGCTCCTAGGATCCCAGCCAGGAAGGCTAAGGCCCTTCTGTTTGCCCTCTCCTGACTGGGCTGGGGGCAGGGAGGAGGCTCCATCAGCAGCTGGCAGTAGCCCTCCTCTCTGGCTGCCCTAGTGGCCAGGGCTCTGGCCCGCTGGATTAAAACTGTAAAGACAGAACTTGTAATTCACGTCAGTCGCATCATTGGACCCATTCACACCTTCCAGGAGCACTGCCTGGGCTCAGACTGCTGCTGGTTTCACATTCCAAGAGCAGGAGAGGGTTAGCACCAAGGCTGGAGCAGAGCACCACCCTCACCCCCATCCACAGGCACAACCAGGCAGAAGGGTCCAATGAGGTGAATTTTACTGCAGCTCCAAGAAGGTGCTCATTTGTATTACAGATTCCCTGCTAGGGATCAGGCCTTTGCAACATCTGAGGCACTAACTGCCTTTCCCATTCAGGTACCCTTAGATTTAAATTTGGGTCCCACTCTCTGACTTTGGTCATGTTTCTGAAGGTCTCCAAGCCTCAGTGTCCTAAATAGAATGGGGATAACATTAATACCTTACAGCTGTCATGAGGGTGAAATATTATGTACATGAAACTGTTAGTCCTGTCCTTTTTCCTGATTAGTGGTTCTAAGACTAGGAGCCAAGTAAAGAGACTGATGCAAGGTGCTTTTGTCAATTGCTTGGACCATCAGTCCCCAGACCCATGTCTGTGCCCCTCACTGAGCCAGGTGGTGAGAGATATGACCTTATCTCCCCTTGAAGAGGCAGTCCGGAAGGGGCAGCAGGTACCCTCACCCTTGGAGCTGCCTGGCCATCTTCCCTTCCCCTTGGAGCCACTGGTCATTGTACTCTCAGAACTTGTCTGGTGACAGATCCAGGGAAGGAGTTTTATAGTTTTTACTTCAAGTGGGAAATGGTGTCAACTCAGTTTAGCAAAGCCCCACCAAGCAAGAGTCTCCTCCTTTCCCCAGGCCACTTTTTTTTTTTTTTTTTTTGA